ACCATGGCCCAGGCCTCCCTGGCGCCTTGACGGCAGGTCGATATCTTCCACAGACGGAGACGTCGCCGTACTCCCTGAAGCTTCTCAGCAAGCCCTCCAAGGCCCTCAGGTAGGGAGACGGAAGGCCATAAGGCCTGAACGGCGCCACTCATCGCCTGCCGAACACGTTCGAACAGTTGCACCAGCTCGGGAAGTTGGTCACCCGTTAAACCGGGCATTTCCTCCGCAGGGCGACCTGTGAGCACACCTAAAGACACATTTCTGTCAATCGACTTCCTCGCCGAATTCTTCTTTTCAAAGGAATTTGCTCAAGCACTTACTATAAATGCCGCGACGAAGCCGATGATTCTCCTTCACGGAGCCAGACAGCTGGGCCCGAACATCTTTTAGCTCTTCTCCTAGCTGGGTGTGGGCATCTTGGAGCTTGTTCCTCTCCTGTTGCACCTTCATAAGCACCCTCTCACCGGCCTTTAGCTGACGCAGTAGCTGTTGCTTGTCCGGATCTAGTCCGGCGCCCTCTGCAATATTATTGTCAGATTTACGCACACGCCGCACTTTGTTAACTACTTATCTTTTCGAAGTACGTATTACCAGCGGGGGTCTCTGTGGCTCCCCCTGTGGCGGCCAGTGCGGCCTCAAGTTGGGCCTTGCACTCTTGAAGCTCCTGGGACAGGTGGGTATTCTTCTCCGCAAGATCCTGCATAATAAATGATCCTTAAATCAGTTATTTCAACTATTTTAAGTCTCGGGGGCTACTGGCATATATAACTATTAAAATTACTTACCCGTATGTCCTTCACATACTGCTCCGTGGCTCTGGTTAAACCATCTTGAGCGGCACGGAGGTGCGCGTCTCCCGCATCAAAGGCATTCAACGCCTCCGGGGAGAAACACGCATCACAAAGAACTGTCCGGCGACGCCTGTGATTCATGGCGCTCTCCACCTCAGACGGGGTGGCGGACAGCCTGTCGGCATCCTCCGTCGGAGGAGCATCCGGCTCATGCCTTGTATTCGCCTCCCCTTCCGGACCACGCGTTGGAGCATGGCTGGCGGAGGCTTGATTGGCAACCTCTCCGGACACTGTCCGGCGAGCGCTCTTTCGCCTCGAAAGGTTATGAGCATTAATATACCTCCTAGGGATCCTTCCCTTAAAAACAGCAGTGCGCCGTACCGTTGCAGCGACGTTTCGGTTCGCGTCGCACTCCTCTTCCGCCTGCTGGGCCGAACTGACCCTTGCTGGTCAGCCACCGCGGGTTCGGCTTCCCGCCTTAAAGGCACCTCCTGCGATGCACCATCAGTATAGGATGGTCAGAATTGAGCACGGATCAAATGATGGTGTCAAGACCTCGGTCGTAGTCACCTGGGAGGCCGGAAACAAACCGGGGTAGTCAGCCGTAATGGCGACTAGAGCATTGTCCATGCTAAGTTGGTGGAACACCCCATCAATCAGCTCCACCTTTATGTCCGGATCCTCTTCGGAGGCCGGATCAAGGGATTGTTTCGGATCCTCAGGCTGAGGAGTTAGGCTTTGTATGCCCTCCACGTCCCGGCGCAGCTCCTGCGTCGAAATCACAAAGTAAGATACTTGACTTTGGAAGTATGGATCGGGTAGATAAACGTCCGCTTACCCAGCTCCGAGGGTTATTCATGGAGAATACATTCAATGGACTCGTGCGGAGGAAGTCCTCCTCCTTCCCCTTGTACAAGCCGGACAGGATCTTTACCAGATCGGCTGCCGAGCCCGGCCCTCTGTGGCCATGACGGGTGGCGTCATCTTCCCCGTTGAAATCTCACATAGGGTGGCCCCTATATTGGAGCGGCTTCACCCCTCGCATAATGCATGTGGCCATGATTCCAATCATGGTCAATCCGGAGTGGGCCAGTAACCTAATCCGGCCCATCAGATAATGGACGCTCCCATCATCCTCCCGTTGAGGGCTCCGCGGGCGCCAACTCAGGCGTTTCTTCAAGGGAGCATTGCTGAACTCCGGGAGGCCGATCCGAACTGGATCCGTCAGAGGGGCGTCCTCCATGTAGAACCATTCCGAAGGCCAGTCTTCGGACGCCTTCTTCGGGGTGCCGGATAGATATCCGGTCCCGGCGATACGCCATATTTCGGCTCCGCCCACTTGATATATCGACCCCTCGTGAGAACGGGGTATGAGGCAAAACAATCTCTTCCACAACGCAAAATGGGGCTCGATGCCCAAGAACAACTCGCAAAGAGCTACAAAGCCTGCGATGTGCAAAATGGAGGCAGGTGTAAGGTGGTGAAGCTGGAGTCCGTAGAACTCCAGGAGCCCCCAAAGAAACGGATGTATGGGAAATCCGAGTCCCCTTATTAGATAAGGGACGAAGCATACCCGCTCTCCTTTGGAAGGGTTGGGGACGCTCTCCGCCTACTTTCCACCCCTGAAGGTGGCCAGTTCGGCTCGAACCGGAACCATGAAGGCTGGGGGAAGATATCCCTCGGTTTGGAGTGCCACTAGCTCGCTGTGTGGAACTGAGCATCTCCCCCAATCTCCTGGCTTAGGGCTGGGAGCGCGAGAGGAGGAGCCGCGTCGACTATCCATGATAGAATAGATTTTTGTCAGAGGCGCTTCGATGAGTACTTGCGGAGGAGGATGGTGTGAGTTGGATCTAGATCCTCGCCTCTCTTATAGGCGGCTCGTTCGCACGGCTAGGGGGTAAAATGTAAAAATACCCTAGCTTTTCGCATTCATACGACACGTGGAAGAAGGCCATTATTGGGCGTAGAAGCCAAGGAGCGCAACATTTATACGGAAGTCGGACACTATTCGACAGGAACATGAAGTTTGAAGGAGAACCCGCCTTGCAACGCCGAAGACAATATACGCGCCGGACTCGTCGTGGCTGAAGCCTGGTTCGGGGGCTACTGAGGGAGTTCCGGACTAGGGGGTGTCCGGACAGCCGAACTATCATGATCGGTCGGACTCCAAGACTATGAAGATACAAGATTGAAGACTTCGTCCGTGTCTGGATGGGACTTTCCTTGGCGTGGAAGGCAAGCTTGGCGATACGGATATGTAGATCTCTTACCATTGTAACCGACTTTGTGTAACCCTAGCCCTCTCCGGTGTCTATATAAATCGGATGGCTTTAGTCCATAAGACGAACAACAATCATACCATAGGCTAGCTTCTAGGGTTTAGCCTCCTTGATCTCGTGGTAGATCCACTCTTGTAACACACATCATCAATATTAATCAAGCAGGACGTAGGGTTTTACCTCCATCAAGAGGGCCCGAACCTGGGTAAAACATCGTGTCCCTTGTCTCCTGTTACCATCCGCCTAGACGCACAGTTCGGGACCCCCTACCCGAGATCCGCCGGTTTTGACACCGACAGTACTCCTTGCCTAGCTCCCGGCCGGTGATGCTTCAAGCGTCATCGGAGGGCATGTGGAGGTTTGTCTCCGGCGGATCTCGCGGGATTTAGTCGCCGTTTATCTTTGGTGGATCCATGTGGATCCGGTAGGTTTGTGCGTGTTCGTGTGTCTACATATTGGATCCTTCCGATCTAATCTTCTCTTCAACAGCGACGGGTGTTGTTGCCGTTTGTCTTTGGTGGATCCATGTGGATCCGGTAGGTTTGTGCGTGTTTGTGTGTCTACATGTTGGATCCTTCCGATCTAAACTTCTCTTTGATGGCGACGGTTGCTATTCTGGTGCGCCGGTCCTATACGGTCTTAACACGACGACTTCCCGACCGTCTATTATAAAAATTTTTGCCCGGCTCCAGTGAGGGATGTGTGATGATGGCGGCACGCCTTCGGCTCGCTTCAGTACATGTAGTCGTCGCTAGGTGGTATACAGATCTGAACGTAATTTTTATTATTTCTGGTATTCGTTATGCTATCATGATTGATGATGAATAGATTGGAAGTTTCCCCGCAAAAAAAAACTCAAATTTAAAAGTTGTAAAAACTTCAAATTCAAATTTGAAGTACTCATGGAGAACAAAAGAAAGAGACAACGTCTCCTTTTCATTTTTTGTTTGCGAATGGTCTCCTTTTCATTTTCGACTACGAATTTGCTCAGAAATAGTCGGGGAATCGTCGTCGCAAGGGGAACAGGGGAACCTCAAAGCCCTGAAAACGACACGATTCCGCTTGGACACCTGTTGCGCCTCACACAAACGGCACGGCAATGCATGTAGCACCAAAAGAGAAGAAATGTATATGTTCCTCCCTCCCTGACTGAAACCTCAGCGACGTGTAGAATGGAATTTCAGCGGCAAGTATGCGCGGTCTCGCTTGCGACGGTGACATGCTCCGCGCCATCTAGCCGATGCCTCTCCCTTTCGCGTTGGCATTCACTCGCTTGGTAGTAGCATGTGGACTGCTTTTTGGAAAGTTCGTCCATCAGTGGAGCTCAGAATGTTCAAAACTGCAGCACAGCGTTTGACTGCTGACCATTGATTCAACGCTCCCCTCCAGTTTTAATGGTGACAAAAAAGTAATATCTCCTCTAAAAATGGCGTCAAAAGCACAGTGATAATATTGGTGGGATACAGGTCAACAAAGACACAAGAGAAGATTCGGAAGAACTGACCCCTGCGAGAATCTAAAAGCCTGTCTCCGCGTATAGGGCAGGGAATTTAAGAATGCCGGAGGGTGACGCCGGCGTCCGGGCCTGCGCTGACGCCGGGCTGCTGACCGGAGAGGAAAGCCGCACAAGCAACAGTTGTTTGCCAAGCCAATCAATCAGAGGGGTGCAGACAGAGCACCGAATAGGATTCAGTTCAGAGGGAGGGAACATATGTTGTGTGAAAAACGTAGGCAGCCTTCAACAACAAGTCTTGTATTAATTAACCCGGAGGGAATATCATCATTGTGTGAAAAACGTAAGCAACCATTGACAACAAAGTCTTGCATATTAATTAATTTACATACACACGCGCGCACACACACGAGGATTCGACGGGAAGCTCCGAGGATCTAGAAGCCGTTTTCGCTGTTGTTCGGAGTGCCCGCACTCTTATTTTGAGCTCTTGTACAGCGCGTCGATGGCTCCCTGAACGTTCATGGGATTATGTATCAGGTAAGCAATGGGGATACAAGAGCTAGAGAAATTTGGAGAAACAAGGGAATGATGATAGGCCGGAATGAATCAGGGGAAAGCGTGTATGAGGTCTGACCTGGTAGTACTTGAGCATCTGCGGCCGTTTCTTCTTGTACGTCGGGGTGATGAGCTCGCGCTCCATGTCGAACGGCACCGCGTCAAGATGGACGGCCCTTATGAACTCGAACCCTTTCAGCTGGCAAAGAGGAAAACACCGGGGACTCGTGTCAATACTACCTGGAACAGACGCCGTGGTAATTGGGCTGTAGATGGCTAAAACACAGCGCTTTACCTTCTTCTCCTTTGCAGCCTTTGCGAGTTCTGCTATAAAATGCTCTTTAGTCTTTGTGTTCTCGCATACTTCTTCCAGATTTCCAGTGATTCCATTCTGTCCAGCCCAGTTCTCAAGCGCTTGTTGGTTGGGGTTTATCACAGCGATAAGGAAAGATTCAAAGCTGTTCCCGTACACCCATATCTGAAATTGATCGGCAGAAACATGAACAAAACTGAGACAAATGGCGGATGAATTGGACATAGAAAATAGACCAAAAACATTATATATGTCTTGCATGTATGCCCTTTTTCTTTCACATATGTGCTCTGTGTAGTCTCTCAAATGATCGCAAGTGAAACGACAAGAGAAACCACCAACACAATATAATTTTGAGAAGCCGCTGTTTTCAGGGATTAACATTGATGCATGTTTGGATTATATACCCGTAACTAATGGCTGTTGCAGTGCTACTATGGTAAAAAAAAATATTACTGAAGAAATTAAGAAACATGTTATGGCATCAGCAGTCATCACACTATACCAACTACGAACTTGTCTTCAACTTCAAACTAACACTTTAATTACCTACCTTCAAAATCATGTGCCCTACACAATTTTTTCACCAAGCATATGGCAGAAAAGTAGGACCAAACACGGTGAAGACAGAAATCGTGGCAGTTACTTGCAAAGTGAATAATTGACTAGATATTTACCGAATCAATCTCTGGAAGAACACCGTAGATATTCTCTAGATTTTCCACTGCAACATATTCTCCTTGTGAAAGCTTGAATATATTTTTCTTTCTGTCAATGATTTTCAAGGCTCCGTTTGGTTGCCACTCACCAACATCCCCTGTATCATTATTCAACTCACAGTCATCATCTAAAATATAATAACTTATGATATCCATTGCCTCCAGTTGAAGTTAGGGATATAGCTTACCTGTGTGAAACCATCCATCAGTCAGGACTTCCTGTGTTAGGTCCTCTCTTTTGTAGTATCCAGAGAACAGAACACTCCCCTTTACGCATACCTCGCCACGAGGAATGCTAGCCAGAGCATCATAACCCATCTCTGAAACTGACTCAAGGCGAACGTCTATATGTGGAACTGGTGGGCCAACAGTCCCAGCCATGGAGAATTCATTTGGTATGGCAGCAAAAGATCCCGCACAGGTTTCGGTGAGTCCTAAAATTGAAAAAATTGGAATTATGCAAAGCTTTATTAGGAAGTGCTTCTGTCATCTAATAATATGTGCAATTCATCTGCAGGGCTTGTCTACGTAATAATAAAGGAACTTAAACAACAAGGTGCATACCATAGCCTTGAACAACATGTGCACATGTCACAACCCTCAAAAATTCTTCAACCGCCACAGCAAGAGGAGCGCCACCAGACACGATAATACGGATTTTTCCACCCAGCCTTTCTTTCACCTTAAAGATAAGCACTACGTTAGGACATAGTATATAGACATAAAGTTGTATTGACATTTTTAATTCTATCTGATGAGGTATAAGATTGGTTGCTCTTGAATGTCTAACTGTACCTTGCTGAAAACTAACTTGTCAAAGAATGGAGATGCCTTCTCATGTTTAATTCCTTTCTTCATGCTGTCTAGTTTCCTGATGATTCAATAACTACCATCTCAAAATTGTATCATGAATGTGCAAAATAATATGCGTACTTAAAAAAAGGGTTCTCGGTTATAATCATGTGCAAACTTACATCTTGTAACCAAGATTAAATAAGGTTTTCTTTAATATACCACCAGCAGAAATCTTGGTCGTAAGACCTACATAAAAATAATAATGCATCGAATATTAGGCAAAGTAAAAATAGACATTACAAGTAATCTTCCATTGAAGCTGTTCGTTACATGACATCCATCTCTATGAAGTTTGATAGTTAGTACATCGACTGAAAACTTAATTAGTCTCTGTTTATTTCCTTTTGTAGACTTATTGATTTTTTCCACCAAAACTTTAGGTATGGTTTCAACAACTAGATCAACCGAAAGCTAAGGTATTTCCTCATTGGTGATTTATCAAGATCTTTTGAAATCTATAATAATGTAACCACAGCAATAACTTTTATTAATGCATTTGGAGATAATGGAACAAATATAAAATAATATCTGAACATGTTCACGTCACTGATAGAAGAAAGCCAGAGTTTACAGAAACTTGTGCAGTTATTACTTCTGTAACAAGTTATGCAATCAACGATAAGTGCTTTATCCAAATGACACAATAATGGATTTTGTATAAATATCTAACTATGTTAACAGCTATACCTGAATATATTCTGTCGAGTACACGTGGAACAGCACAAAATACTGTTGGTCTTAGTGCTGCAATATCGTCAACCAACAACTTGACATCCTACAGATGCATGACAGTAATTTCAGTATGAACCCATTGACTACTTGGGGAAATAGAGTATATTCACAAAGCATACCCCACGCCAAAATCCGATTCTCGATCCATGAGATATAAACACTTCCTCAAACATTCTATCAAAGACATGAGCTAGTGGAAGATATGACAAATAAACATCGTCTTGATCAAACTGCAACCACAAAGTGGAAAATAACCAGCATTACTTGTGTGATTCATTGAAGCATGTGCAACGATTATTTCATTATGAAATGTGTTGGATTATATACTTACAGCTTCACCAATAGATTGCACGACAGAATCAGCACCGGCCAGGTTAACAAGAAGGTTTTCATTTGATATCATAACACCTTTAGGGTCTCCTGTTGTTCCACTTGTGTACATGATTGTGCAGATGTCGGATTTCTTCTTTTCAGGAAGATCAACAGGTTCACCTCCACCCTATAAACATGTCAGGCACACAAAGTTTATGAGTAAGTTTATTATAATGGTTCAATAACACGTCATACAGGAGTAACTTGGAAACCTTACATTATGAATGAAATGAACTACAGTTCAGTATTTTCAACTAGAATACAGGACAGTCTGAACTATTTCAAATAACAAGGGACTAAGATTATTCACAAAATTTACCTTATCGGTTGTGCAATATATACTATTATAACAATCATGTAAGACATATAAGTAGCTAATAAGTCACATTTAATATGATATAGGTAAAGCTAACTTCAGGGTTTTGCAGGGGATGTTGAAGATCTTATTAGGAAGCACTAGATATCTATAAAAAAAGTCATGAAACATATGTCATATCTCATATTCATTTGGAGGCACGCCACACAGCAGCAAGCTCAATGTATCAAATAAGATAATTTGCATTGCATATTTCTTTTCTTAAAAGAAAGATTGTTGTGAAGCACTTCTTTCCATAACTTGTAGCAAAACACCAAAAAGAAGCTAGCTGAAGACCAAATCTTACCGTGATCAGGAATTCCTCCCATGAGAAAATGGACAGCCCATGGTTCTTAGCTTCCTCTTTCTGATCATTTGTGACTCCTCCGAAGCTGATGATTGCTGAAAATGAGTTAACAATAGAACCAACGTAAATCCCACAGTGACGAACCATCTAATTGGTCGATACCGCTTATCATTGCAAGAACTTACTTTTCAAATACTTTGAAGTGGCATGACAGGTTTTCAAGAGCTGCCATAATTGAAAGCATCAGCAAACAGGGGGGCTATGAAGTCTCAAGCAAACAGTAAACTGAACCAGAATTATAATTTTTTTGAGACCATACTCCAGACCCCCCACCCCTTGCAGTAGTAAACAGTAAGCACATAATCTCTTGCCAACACATCGCCTGATCTGTCAGGATAAACATAATTGAGAAAATTGCTTCCATTGGACAGAAGTTAGACCTCTCCGCGGGCTCACTGACGACGAATCAGAGAACTAGCCATCTAAATAAGAACCAGCCCAACCTAGAACCTGCGGAGTTCACCTCGCCGTGGCTGTCGGCCGCGGCGGGGGAAACCCGGGAATCGCCTGCAGCCAGCCCATCGCACTCGCCTCTCGCGCGGAACGGACCGCCATGACGCCGTTCGTACGGGGCGGCGCCTCCCTCTGCAAATCTCGAGCGGTGATTCGCCGGGGAAGGCCTGGTGGCGTCGCGCGTGCGGCGGAGATGCCACCGGTGTTCACCGTCAGTCCTTTTTTTTTTTTTGAGGGGTTGTTCGCCGTCAGCCCTGCACGGCTGATAGGCTCACCGCGCGACCTTACTGGGCCGGGCCGAAGTAAGGTTATGACTAGACGGGCCGAAGGGGTCGTACATACAGTACTTGTTTCGTATCATTTTTAAAATTTCCCGGCGAATGGGTCAAAAGAAAAAGAAAAAGAAAAAAAAAGAACTTGTTGAACTGGGAGAGATGTTCTTGATTGACCAGCGCGTGTAGAATTTCTCCATTCTTCCTCTTTCCACATGTCCCAAAAGACCATAAAACTTAATACAGGTTGGTATCGATTTTCAAACCGGGTTCATTTGTGTAAAACTTCTCGGATTTGATATTCATTGCAGGCCAGTCATGCACGCTTAAGAGGAATAAAATATATTTGACCTAGCGTAGTAGTGATATTCTTTGTTTGAAACTTATTAATGGAGTGATGAAATTGAGGACTAAGTGGCCGCATTGGTACCTCGCCAATCTTCTTCTCTTCCACGAAAGCAATCAGGAGTTCGGCATGGCAGGTGATAAATTCCACTGCATTAGCACCTGAACAAAAAAGAGAGTTTTAGTCAGATTCAATCTTGATTAACCTTGCGCCTTTGCTAGTCGGGCAGATTAGTATAACATTCATGTTTCTATCTTTCTTTCTTTTGGCAAGCATGTGACATCAAATTTTTAAACCCTAGAAAAGTATGGTTGTTACTAATGGGGCTAGGCAATTGTTTTTGCCAAGAATAAAATAAATTACACCCTCTGTCCCAAAATATGTGACGTGGTTTTAGTTTCAATTTTGAACTAAAACCATGTCACTTATTTTGGGATGGTGGAATAAGAGACTATTAAATAAAAATGAGAACACTACTAAATCAGAACCTAATTAGGAGTAGTAAGTACTCCCTCCATTTCTATTTCCTCTGCATATTTTTCTCAAGTTAGACTTTTGTGGAATTTGACTAAATTTATATCAAAAATATATATATCAAAATATGTGACATGACTTTGTAAAATTGCACACACCAGCCAGTTCACCTAAAAGCTCAAGCTGATGAAAAAATGTGGGCTATGCATTTATACATCAACAATCCCCTCATGTGTGGCTCCGTCAGGCCTAAATATGGACCAAAAGTGGGCAGTAATTTTTTTATTTTTAAATTGCGTCAGCCGGGTGTTGAACTCAAAACCTCTTGACTCTCATACCATGTAAAATTGCATGCATCAGCCACTTTACCCAAAATTCAAGCTGATGGAGAAAGGTGGGTTATGCATTTATACGCAAATAGTTCCTGCTGTCCCACAACGACGTGCGAGCTCGAGTTTTAGGTGGTGGCTTTGGGCAACACGATGGCTATGGTTTTGTGACTTATAGTCCTGAGATGCAGGGATTTGTATGGGGTGGTAGGTCGGACGTGCTTTGTCTAAGGACAGTTAGGTTTTTCGATGTACTAGGTTCGAGTTTGAATCAAAGTACGTTTGGATCGTCGAGTTGGGATGGAAATTACAAGGAGGACTGTTTTTTTTGCTAGACGGTAATTTTTTTTTTTTTTTTTTGCGGGGAGGCTAGACGGTTATTACATGACCAAGTCGAAAATATCCAAGCCCTATTATATTTGTATTCGACATGGCTTGGAGAAAATAAAATACTCCCTCCGTCCGAAAATACTTGTCACCAAAGTGGATAAAAAGGGATGTATCTAGAACTAATATACATCTAGATACATCCTCTTTAATTCATTTTGATGACAAGTATTTCCGGACGGAGAGAGTACAAGATAGTCCCTCCATTTCTTTACTTCACATATTAGGTTTGTCTTCAGTCAAACCTTTTAAAGTTTGATCAAGTTTATAGAAAAAATACAAAACATTCACAATACCAAACACATATGATTAGATCCATCATAAAAAAATCATATTGTATTTATTTGGTATTGTGGAGTTCATAATCTTTAATATAAATTTGATCAAATTTCACAAAGTTTGACTTGAGAAAAACCTAATATGTGAAGGAAAAAGAAACATGGGGAGTACTTACTAATATATTTTATTCTTTGCGAAAAACAATTTTCTAGCCCTTTTAGCTACAAATTTTCAAGTGTTTAGAAAGTTGTTTGTTAGACTTGGCAGATACTACGTACCAAGAGTGTCGTAGAGCGGCACACAACAAACTCCGAGGGCGTTGCAAGCCTGCAGTATATGTAGGATTAGTTGCAAAGTAAGACAAAAATATATGTATATACAGTACTATTCATTTGAAAAGTACTGCAATGTTTTTCTCCAGAAAATCTGGGGATAAACATTGTTTAGATGAGGGATGATTAAGTAGTGATTTACCTCCATGCTGATGATCCATTCCGGACAATTTGCACCGTAGATGCCAGCGCGTTCACCCTGAAAATAGTATACACATCACTTTATATCCACTTTCTTGTGAGGATATTATGGTATCAAAGGGTTCAGAAGATGATACAAATGGCTTCGTTAGTAACATTCGGACAACACGAGAGTTGTTTTTGTCAAACACAAATTAATTTAATTTGTGCTAATGGAAAACGAATATGATAGATGCAGCATCTACACGGCAAGCACGATCGAACTGGTCAACTCTTCCCTGGAGCTAGCGTATGAGCTGGGTCAGACTTGAGATGGTTCTGGTGAAGACTAGACTATTCCATGGAAGAGAAACCTTCAAGGGTGGACTTTCTTCGCATCCAGACAAGCCATATCCATGTGACAGTGGTTGTATTTTGTACTAGTATATATCTGGTTGTAATTTAAGCTTGACAACTGGTACACGTACGACGAATTTTGTACGATTTATGTACGACAGTCCTCAGCAGCCGTTGGATCAACTGGATGGACAAGTGAGATCACGTCGTACGGAAATCGTACACACTATTCATCGTACGCACAACAATTTCGATCAACTGGATACCGGAAGGGATAAGCATGCTATCCTTTTGTTAAAGCCAAAGGTGATAACACTAGCAGTTATTGGCTTATGATGCACCCCATCACCTTTTAAATTAAAACACTTGTAGAGTTGCTACCCAACAAAAAAAAGTATCATCATGAGACTATTAACCCAGTATTCTCAACCTGAACTATATTGGTGGCGAGCAGCATATCCGTTTCGGTATTATTAATGGGTGTATCACTTAACTAATGCAGTTTGGCTACATATCAGTCAGCTGAATTTCAAATTCAGGCCAGTCGATCTTGAATGAAGGAAGGAGAAGGAATGGCCTCGCCGGAGAGAAGGAAGGGGCTCACCGTCATCACCCCATTATCTATTTTAGGGTTCAGGGGCGGTGGTGGGGCTTCGCCGGAGAAAAAAAATGGACGTGGGCGGGGCTAGAGGTATGACCGAGGGCGGCAGCAAGACCCACGGTGGGGGAAAGGTTCAGGGGCGGGCGATGCGGCAAGGCGGTCGTGGGCGGCGGCAGCACGCGGCGGGAGGAGGAAAACTCACGGAGGAAGAAGACATAACCTGGGTCGTTCATTTTCCATCTAACGCTTCAGACTGATCCAGACCAAATTGACTGACCCAAATCAAAATTTCAGTCGATTGACTCCTAACCATTCCCTAACTAATGATCTCCTCAACGGCTTGTTCAACTTGGCAGCTGTGGAGATCGTGGTGCATCCAGGCTCCAGCTAATTAACCGATTACACGAGCAAGCTATGCACGCGATATGGGCATATTATACATCCACTAACGAACTGTGTTGCTAATGATATAATAAGCAGCCTGGCGTACGCGTAATTATTACCAGCTGCTGCTATTACTTAATTATATAATTCCGGAGGATTAGGATCAAGAGCAGGGGTTGGAATTTTCTATCCCTATGTTGGATCGATGCATGAGCAGTTGACCATCGATCGATCTGATCGTCCAAATTAAGTTTTAGCTGGCTTCACATTGTGATAGCTGGTCTACATCATCACGGTCACGATCAAGCTGTATGCACGCACGCACGCACCTGTTTGACCCCGGACTTGCTCATGGAGGCCGCGAGCTTGATCACGACGTCGCAGACCTCCCTGTAAGTCATCCAGGCGTAGTCGCCGGCCTGCATGGTATTTTGATTCAGCTGCTGGCTCCATTGATTCAAGCTGGCAGAGGAAACTGGCACGGGCTGGCTAGTTGAACTCAGATTCAAAGTAAGTACCTTGCCGTCGACAACTAGCCGGTGACCGAGCATCGGGTTGCTGGGGTACTTCTCCACGGAAGCGCTGCAAGATCGCAAGAGACGTGTTAGATCGATCGATCGATGAAGCTTCAGGAAGAGAGCGGGATTAACGCATGGAGCACGTGCAGATCGCCATGGATGGGTTTCAAGCGTGTGTATCTGCAGGGCGGCTCAAGAGAGGTGGGAGGGGATGCTAGCTGAATAGCTCACCGGAAGAGGTCCCAGAGGCAGTCGACGCCGGGCGGGGACTGCAGCAGGCCGGTGTCCTTGGCCAGCACGTTCCGGTACGACGGCCCGGCATTCCCCTCGGCGTCGCCCGACTCCACCAGGAACTTCATCGCCTCCGACGACGCTGCACGATACGAGAGCGAAGGAAGAATAGTCGAGGATGGATGGGAGAAAGGTAGCTGCTGACACGATGCAGGACGGAATAGACAGAGACAGAGAGCATACCATATATACAGCCGTTGGGAGACGTGCTGGAAGCTGTTGCAAGTTTTTTTTTTTTTTGAGAGAGAGAAGGAAGCCGTTGCAAGTTGGAGTAGTCGTCTCTTCTCAAGACTAAAAAAAAGATCTCTGAAAATTATATTCGGACACGAGGCCCACCAGCCCGCGTCGTAGGATATGGAAATTGCTACAGATTGCCCTAGGCATACTACTATCACCTTCTCAAAATATAAGACGTTTTAGTAGGCGACTATATTGTACGGCGCGGAAAGCGTGCAGCGGTAAGCAAACTTCAATTGATATCAACAGTACATAGGCATGTAGTACTATAGTATTAATAATGATGTTCTAGGGGGAAAACCAGGCATGTATTTTATATTAGTTGAAAAAAAAACAGATGCCGTTAAGATACGGTACAGTTGGATTGGATGGCGATGTGTTGTGTGTTTGACTATGCAGGGGCGGAAAAGAAAAAGAAGAACTGTACAGATCAGCTGGTCGATAGTACCCTCCTGTTTTTCTTTTTTCTGTACAAGATCGCCGCGTTGTTCAGATCTAATCTAGAAATCGATTTCGAAGTTTTGGTTGGGGCAACTTCTTGATTCTGATTTCGAAATCTCCACGCCCCGCTTCTGGATCCTGCAGTTAGGAGGTCGTCGACCTTGTAGCCGCATTGCTGTGCTGCGCAGCTGCCTCGATCGGATGCAGCCATCAGCCATGACATGCAATTACATTTGAGAATTGAGATCACGTACGGCAAGTTAATATAGTGTAGCTAGGCGGGCGGGCGTTGGCTTGGCACAATGTCAGACTGCTTCGCAACAAAAGCAAGGGGACGAATATTAGCCTGCTTCATGGGAAAGAAATCACATGCTAGTGCAGCTGAGACTGGGCTCAGATTCACATTTTCGGATTTATCACTCCTATTTAGTTACACGACGATGACATTTCTGTCCACATCTTATCCAGGAGGACGACTCGACTAGATTACCTTTTTTCTTTTACGGAAAGGCCTTCATGGCTAGCTTTATTAACCTCAAATAACGCTTACATCGTCTGCTAAAAATTTAGTAATAGTAACCGGAGGTGCATCCACCCATAAAGAAGGGGTGTTTACACGCCCCCACTCAGCTAGCTCATGAGCAACTACATTTGATTCTCTATTACAGTGCTCAATAGTAACCTTCCCGAACTCTCGTAATAACTCTCTGCAATCATCTAAAACTAGAGCCGCCACCATAGAATGTCCCTCATTCAGATGTCCCTCACTCGACTAGATTACTTTAGGAGAAGTATGGGACATGCTATAGGGGTAGGTTGACTAGAAATTAAATTTGGGCCAGTCGATCTATTTAGCCGCTGGATGCGAAATGAGCGGCGAAATTGTTTTCTTCAACTTCCAGCATTATCTACTGTTCATCTTCTTCGCTGAAATCTGAGACCGCCGGACTAACCACCACCCTCCACCACCCGCGGCCGGCGGCGCTCCCGCGCCAGCCCGGCTGTCCCGCGCGCGCCTCAACCGCCGCCTACTGCCGTGCTTCCTCCGCCCACGGCCATCGCTCTAACCCTGGAAAGACCTCCAACTCCGGCACCGATGAACTTGCACCCCCGCCACCCTAAGATAGACGAGGAGGATGCTGCCCCCTCTGCACCCGCTACACCCCTAAGATAGATGAGGAGGCTACTCGACCGCCGCCGCTGCTGCCTCCGCCGGCGGCCTCGGTGCTCCTCCATGGCTATTGCTTCCTCTCCACCGAATTGACTGACCCAAATTCAAATTTCAGGCGACTGATGTTGAGCAAACCTAGAGAACTATACATAGAACTTAAAGAGATATGCAAGTCGCACACGTTTCGTACCCTACGTCTCATTTGTCTCACGCAAGGGTGATTAGGGATCTCACGCCTCCCGTCGGCCCCACCGCAAATCAGCTTCGTCTTCTATGACCTTAGAGCAATGGAGGCGCGGTTAATCTCGACCCTTGCTGGCGATACGACTCCTCCGTTTTTAGGTGTTTTTTTACCTGTTTGTTTTGGGTTTATGTCCTTGTCGGTGTCAAAACCGGCGGATCTCGGGTAGGGGGTCCCGAACTGTGCGTCTTGGTAACAGGAGACGAGGGACACGATGTTTTTACCCAGGTTCGGGCCCTCTCGATGGAGGTAAAACCCTACGTCCTGCTTGATTAATATTGATGATATGGATAGTACAAGAGTGGATCTACCACGAGATCAAGGAGGCTAAACCCTAGAAGCTAGCCTATGGTATGGTTGTTGTAATGTATGTTGTGTCCTACGGACTAAAGCCCTCCGGTTTATATAGACACCGGAGGAGGCTAGGGTTACACAGAGTCGGTTACAATGGTAGGAGATCTACATATCCGTATCGCCAAGCTTGCCTTCCACGCCAAGGAAAGTCCCATCCGGACACGGGACGGAGTCTTCAATCTTGTATCTTCGTAGTCTTGGAGTCCGGCGGACGATGATAGTCCGGCTGTCCGGACACCCCCTAGTCCAGGACTCCCTCAGTAGCCCCTGAACCAGGCTTCAATGACGATAAGTCCGGCGCGCATAATGTTCGGCATTGCAAGGCGGGTTCCTCCCTTGAATAATCCAGAGAAGATCGTGAACACCAGGATAGTGTCCGGCTCTGCAAAATGAATTCCACATTCCACCGTAGAGAGAATAAAATGTACACTTAGTTCAATCTGCTGACGTATTATGCGGCGTGACATCACACCGCTACCAAGCCTTTGTTTGAATCATTTTTTACCATACCACCTCAGCACGTTTAGCGAAGCGGTTTCCTTGGCACGTCTTGTCGAAGCAGAGATCGTGTTCCCCTTATTCCGGGATTCTCATCAATACGGACGTGGGTAACCCCACCGCGCCATTGATGGTGGCGCTTGGGAGATAAGCTAGTTTTATCAGGCCAGCGGGACGCACAGTTTTCGTCCGCCTACATATAAGGGATAAGGATTTACCTTCTCACCTACGCCTTCTTCCTCCTTTGCTTATCCACCTCCGCGTACTCAAGCTCCAACGCCCAAGCTCGCGCATCTCGCCTCGACCTTCTCCGAATATGTCCGGAGCGGGAGGCAAATGGTTGGCTTCCACCGTTAAGGAGGAGCACATCACCAGACTGCGCAGCGCCGGATATCTCTCCGGCGATATCGCGCATCGGCTGCCCGACGAGGGGCAGCTCGTCCCTACCCCCGGGCCTCACGAGAGGGTCGTCTTCCTTCCCCACTTCCTCCGCGGACTGGGCTTTCCGCTCCATCCATTCATCCGGGGGCTCATGTTCTATTACGGCCTGGATTTCCACGATCTGGCGTCGAACTTCATCCTCAACATCTCGACTTTCATTGTCGTGTGCGAGGCCTTCCTCTGCATCCGGCCCCACTTCGGCCTGTGGCTCAAGACCTTCAACGTCAAGCCGAAGGTTGTGAAGGGCACGCAAGCGGAATGCGGAGGCGCCATGTTGGGTAAATTACCCAACGTCCTTTGGCTCGAAGGGGCCTTTGTGGACTCCGTCAAGGGGTGGCAATCGGGGTGGTTCTACATCACCGAGCCGCGCAAGCCCACATGGGCGGCGGCCCCCGAGTTTAGATCTGGCGTCCCCACGCAGCTCACCTCCTGGAAAGAGAAGGGCTTGCTATGGGGCGATCCGAAGGAGGTGACTGGACTCTGAACCTGCATCCAGAAGCTGGTGAGCAATAAGCTCAGGCTCGTCGACGTGGTCCAAATCATGCTCATCCGCCGGATTCTCCCATGCCAAGAACGGGCATTCAATCTGTGGGAGTTCAATCCGGAACAGCACCAGGCGCTGAGCGGGCTCTTCGATACGACATATGAAGGCGCCTGGAGGGTGCTGTTTAAGGGCGCCGAAGCCCCCGCATCCGCGACGGAAGATCGCGGATTCAGATCGCAGTATCCGACTGACGAGGTAAGTGATTCAACCCCATTACGGGACACTTCGTAGTAATCGAATTTATTATAAGAGGGTTTCATCCCTTCCTTTCCTTTGACAGGAATGGATGGAGAAGGCCAGACAGCTTATCAGCCCGGCTCCCATGCCAGAAGATCCAGTGGACGCCCGCTTAGCAGGGCTGCTGGTTCCGGCACCGCACGTGGTGCCGGAGAAGAAGGCCAAGAAGGTGGCCGCGGGGACTCGAAAGAGCTCCCGCAATCAGGCGTCTGATGACGACGCGGACTCCTCCCCCGAAGACGAGGAGGAGGAGGAGTACTCTCTCCCGGAGGGGGGAGAGAAGAAGAGGAAGGCTTCCCCAATAGGGGAGGCCGAAGGGTCCAAGAGGGGGAGAACTATCCCCCCGGACAGTTTCGCCAACACCAGCGTTGGCGAGGATGAGTGGCCTCCAAGGGCCAGGCGTCCGGCAAGATCGTAAGTATCCGGATCCTTTATACGCAATATCTTTTATGTCACGTAGTGTCCTTCTAACGCCGCATTCTGTCCGTAGTCCGGCTGATGATGATCTCCCCGCTTCATCAAGCGGGTCCTTGGCCTCGTCGGATGTGAATTCACTTCCGACTGCCTCTACCCCACGCGCCGACGAGGACGCCGAGGTGGGATCCCAGAGAGGGACCCATCAGGAGGAGGCTCCGGAGGCGCCGTCAGGCAGCCTCTCGGATTTCGGGCCGGACTCTACATCGAAACCCGTAGTGGTTCCAGGGTCCGGCAAGCGGTCCCTTCGAAAGAAGGGCAAGACCGTGACACTGGCGGCCTCCGTCCAACCGGAGGCGCCGGATAACTTGTTGGAGGCGCTTAAAGGCGCTTCCATCGAGGAAGAACACCGCACTATCATGAGTGCGGTGATTCAAAAGGTTCAGCTCGCCAAAAGCGGGCTGACCGAAGCCTGCAGCAGCCTTTTAAC